ATAATTTTATTATATAACAAAAAAACATGTAAATTAATTTTTTATAAAAATAAATTATGAAAAAAGCAATAAAATACTTTCTTTTAGAAACACGTACTACCACGTTTTAACCCTACAGCCAATTCTAAAAAAAATAAAAAGGACTAAACGACATAACATGACTCTTAAACCAATTGAAGCAAGTGAAATTATTAAAGAAATACCACAAGGATGTGAGGAGTCAGAAATGCCAGCAGCTGCAAATACTGAAATTTTTGAGACTAAAGCAGAAGAAAAATTATTAACAAAAGAAATAAAAGACATCAGAGATAAAAAACAAATTAAGTCAAAAATCAATGAAGTCACTAAACCAAAGAAAAATGAACCTCAAATTACAAAGGCTTTAGTCAAAAAAATTTACAATCAACTTAAACTTGTTCCCCCTGAAAATGGAAAATATGTCTCAAATGAAGAGTCTATTCTTGACAGAATGAATGATCTTAGAGAAACCATATTGGCTTCATTGATTAAATTTTCCAAAGTAGAACAAGATGAGGGTTTAAAAAAAGTTTTTGAGGAGTCAAGTAAAGTAATAGAAGATAAAATTTCTCAAATTGAAATTAATCAAGTCAAATTACTTATTAATAAACTTAATCAAAACCAAAATATCTCTAAAGGAGATCCTTTCTCTTTTGCTTTACAACAAGAAGACCTTGAAAAGAAAGAAGAAAATAATGAGGTTAAAAGTCAAGATAAAAAAGATTATAAAAAACATGAGAAAAAAGACCATAAAAAAGAAGAGAAAAAACCTAAAGCATCAACGGTTCATTCAAAAGAAGAAACAAAAGATAATAATAGTAATGAAAATAAATCTAAAGAAGTTAAAGCAAATATTGATGAGGAATTTGCTCGTCGTTTGACTGTACGAAAAGTAAGTACTGGTTTTAGTGAAGAAAAGAAAGAAACTAAAGATGAAAAGAAACTATGGCTTCCACCACGTAAGAGAATAACTACTTATATAACTGAAGAGCAGAAAAAGGAAAAATTAGAAGATAAAAAATCAGAAATTAATGACAACAAAACGCCAAAAGAAGACATAGGTGTTAGTCTAATTAGTAATCCCAAAGATAAAAATGAACATGAGGTATTTACCAGTCGTTTGGGTCTACGAAAAGTTGCTGACAACATCACAGAAGGAAAGAAAGAAGAAGCAACCAAAGACATTGACCCTAAGGAAAAGAAATCTAAAGAAATTGATGGAACTACACTTGATGAATTTGCTCGTCGTTTGACTGTAAGAAAAGTAGGTAATGATGTTAGTGAAGAAAAGAAACCAAAGCCTCCAACAAATGAGGAAACAAAAGCTGCAGAAAAAGTTAAAGAAGGCAAAAAAATAAAAGAAGAAAAGAAAGAAGAAGTTAAGGAAGAAAAGAAAGAAGAGGTTAAGGAAGAAAAGAAAGAAGCTAAGAAAGATAAAAAGGAAAAGAAATCAAAATCCACACCAACTGAAGAATCAAAAACTGATCCTGTTAAAGAAAAGAAAGAAGCTAAGAAAGAGAAAAAAGAAAAGAAACCAAAAAGTATAAAAACCGATGAAGAAGTCAAAGCTGACATTGTTGAAGAAAAGAAAGAAGAAAAAGAAAAGAAGCCAAAATCAGTAATATCCAAAGAGGAAAATGTTGAGGTTGTTAAAGAAAAAAAGGAAAAGAAGAAACATGGTAAAGAGCATAAAAAACATGATAAAGGGTTGAAGAAAGAACACATAAAAAAGCACAAGAAACATGAGAAAAAAGTAAATGAAAAACCAGAACATAAGGAAGTGAAATAACTAATGTTATCAATAATTCAATGAAAAGAAGCAAGAATAACAAAAGTAATTAATTAAGTATTATTAGGGTTTGTTTCTTTATTCTTTTAGTTCAGTTTCATCTAATCTCTTTCTAAGCGTTATTATTATGATAAAATACAATACTTTCTTATATTTTTTGTTAGTACGTTTTTAATGTTGTCATTTTTATTTCTTTAATTCATCTAATACTTGAGATGTTTATTATTCCATGTATTTTAACATTTCTCATTTCTCCATTATCTTATTCTATTCGTTATTTCTTTATTCCTTTATATTTCTTTTCTTCAAATACTATCCATTA